AATAAGAAATAACTCAAAAGTACTTTTAATCACAATTTATGCTTCCAATAACCAGCAAGACCAATTCTATAAAAATCTACATAATAAAATAATTGAACTGGATTATGATAAGATATGCATCCTAGGAGATTTCAATGCAATTGTAAATACTGAACTGGACTATAAAACACAGAAAACAAACACGAAGAACAGGAAAATATTACCTAAATCTTTTTTTTAAGATGGTGGAGGAGCTGAAAGATATTTGGAGAGAATTGAATAGCAAAAGTAGACAATTTACATTTTACTCAAATAGACATTTATCATGGTCAAGAATCGACATGATTTGGATGTCAACAGATTTAATACCTAATATTCAAGAAGCAAATATTGATACAAACATTTGGGCTGACCACAACCCAATAAGGATTAAATGGAAAGGACAGAAGAAAAGATCAAGATGGACTTTGAATAATTCAATTTTGAAAAAAAAAGAATTTATTAAACATCTGGAAAAAGAGTTGGCTTTCTTCCTTAAAGAAAACAAACCAGGAGAAACCTCATTACAAAATGTATGGGACGCTATGAAAGCGTATACCAGAGGGATAATTATAACCTATACAAGAAGAAAGAACACTAAAAAGAGACAAACACAACAATCTTTAGAACAAGAGTATAAAAAACTGGAGAAGGATTTACAAAAATATCCACAACATAAAAATACTAAAAACCAAATGGATATAATTAAACACAAAATTGGACTAATGGAAAAAGAAGAACTTGCACAAAAGATCAGAGGAGCTAAACAGAACTATTTTGAAAATGCAAATAAACCAGGAAGATGGTTAGCATACAAATTAAAGAAAAAGAATCAAAGAGAATACCACAACTAATGGATGAAAATGACATGTTATGTTATGAAAATGAAGAGAAAAAAAATAGTATGGAAATTTTATGAGAAATTATATGATCAAGGGACAATATCAGAAAATAAAGTACAGCAATACCTACAAGGGGCAGAACTACCAAAAATACCCAAGGAAGTAAAGACCATGTTAGATGAAAAAATAACAATGATGGAGTTGATAGAAGCAATAAATACACAAAACACTGGAAAAGCTCCTGGCCCGGATGGGCTACCAGCTGAATTTTATAAGACAATTCAGGAAACAATTTCTACTACAATGTTGGAACTATTGAATGAAGTTTTGACAATAAATAAAATACCCGATTCATGGACAGAAGCATATGTTACACTTATACCAAAAGAACATACCGACCCACAACAAATAAAGAACTACAGACCAATATCCCTGCTAAATGCTGATTATAAAATATTTGCTTCAATAATGGCAGAAAGATTAAAAAGATATTTAAACTATTTTATACATTCAGATCAAAATGGATTTCTGCCCAAGAGACAAATAAAAAACAATATGAGGATAATATTGAACAATTTGGAATATTATGAAACCCACTCAGAAAAACAAATGGCATTATTGTTTTTAGATGCACAGAAAGCATTTGATAATGTGAATTGGCAGTTTATGTTGATGCAATTGGAGGAGATGGGTTTTGGAGACAGGTATACGAATGCATGAAAAGTGATATATAATAAGCAAACAGCAAGAATAATGATAAATGGAGAATTAACAAAAAACTTCAATATTTTAAAAGGAATCAGACAAGGCTGTCCGTTATCCCCACTATTATTTGTATTGACATTGGAAGTCTTGAATAGAAATATTAGAAAAAATTGAGAAATAAAGGGAATGAAAATAAAAAATGAAGAGTATAAATTACAAGCATTCGCAGATGATTTGGTTTTTATATTGGAAGAACCATTGGAAACAGGCCCAAAGTTGATGAGAGAAATAGAGGAGTTTGGCGAAGTAGCAGGACTGAAAATAAACAAAGAAAAAACAAAAATTCTGGTGAAAAATATGACAGAAAAACAAAAGAAAAGACTAATGGACAAATTAAATATTCAAATTACAAAAAAAAGTAAAATACTTAGGGATACAAATGACAGCTAGATGTGGAACACTTAAAGAAAATAACTGACAGATTATTACAACAGATTGCGATAGATCTAGAAAAATGGAAAAAAATCTACAACTATCCTTAATAGGTAGAATAGCGACAATTAAAATGAACATTCTGCCAAAAATATTGTATCTATTTCAAACGATTCCAATAAAACTGAAAAAAAATATTTTGAAGATTTCAATAAAATGATGAAATTTATCTGGCGGGGGAAAAGGCAAGAATCAAGATAAAATTATTACAGGAAGCAAGGTTGAGAGGGGTTTTGGATTACCCAATTGGGAATTATACTATCAGGCAACAATATTGATGTGGATGAAGGAATGGATTGTATTGAAAAATGCCAGATTACTAACGTAAGGACATGATTTACAATTGGGTTGGCATGCATTTTTATGGTATAAAGTAAGACACGTGGATATTTTAGGAGACATTAGAGATGCTTCATTAACATTATGGGAAAAGATAACAGACTATCATTATTTGAAAATACCAGTCTGGTTATCAACTTTAGAAGCCTTTTCATATCCACAGCTGTTTAAAAAGGAACACATAATTACATATGATGAAATTTTAAACGAAAAGGGTGAACTCAAAACAAAGCAAGAATTTGATTCACAAGGGATAAATATAAATTGGTACTCGTACTTCCAAATACATACAAGGTATGAAAAAGACATTAAGATGGCTGGGTTTTATAAGGAATTGACTGAATTGGATAAAATCCTAACAGGCACTGAAGAAAAGTTGATTAAAAAACTATATGGTTATTTATTAGGAGTGAAGTTAGAGGATGAACAAGTAAAAGAAACAATGATTGCGTGGGGGGAAAAATTTGGATATGGAATGGATCTTGATAAATGGCAGATATTATGGTCTAGAAACTATAAATTAACTATGTCAACAGCCTATAAAGAGAATTTGTCTAAGATGTTTTACAGGTGGCATCTATCCCCAATGAGAATTGCTAAGATGTTTGAAGATAAGTCCGTGAAGTGTTGGAAAAGCCAGAAGTTACCAGGATCATCACTACTACATGTGGTGGACATGCACAGATACTAAAAAGTATTGGGCTAAAATACACATGTGGCTGGAGAAGATGATAGAACAACCTATAGACTTAAAACCAGAGACATTTTTATTGGGAATTTTGCCTGAGGGTTACAATAAAGAATTAACGTATTTGATTATTAATATTTTAACAGCAGCTAGGATTGTATTTGCACAAAATAGGAGAAATGAAAAAATTCCGACAGAAGAGGAAATAATTAAGAAAATAATAGAATTTAGATTAACAATGGCGATTAGAGAACAAGAAGAAAAAGACTATTATAAAATTTGGAATCTATTTTATGAATGGTTGGATAGAAGAGTAAAGAATTGAATTATATAAGTATAGTATAACATATTGTTACTGATAGATGAGTTAGGTAAGAATAAAAAAATGAACTTGAAATATATTATTGAAAGTTAAGGACTTAAAAGGATAATAGAATAAGTGACAAATGTGATATAAAATATTGATAAGAACAATTATAAATATAAACAAGTTAAATATGTATGATATGATTTTGTGCACGAAGAAATATGGACTCAAATGACACACTGTGGAACAGAAAGGTTTTTTGTTTGTTTTTGTTGTTGTGATAAAAATAAAAAACTTCTATTTCAAAAACTTCTGGTAGCAAGCCATTCCACTGGTTAATTGTTCTCACTGTTAGGAAATTTGTCCTTAGTTCCAGATTGGGATATCAATCAATCAGAACAGAGCTTACCATTTCACACAAGTGACTGTCCAGTCTCTTCTTAAAAACCTCCAGTGATGGAGCACCCACAACTTCTGGTAGCAAGCAGTTCCACAGCCCACAACCGTTTCAAAACCCTTAATCCTTCAAGGCAGGATCTTTATCCTATAAAGCTGAATCCATCCACCCCACTCATCCTAAAACAAAAAGTATACAGGTAATCCTCAACGTATGACCACAATGGAAGCCAAAATTTAAGTTGCTAAGTGAGAAATTTGCTCTGCACGTTTTGCTCATTTTTTACGACTTTTCTGGCCACATTTGTTATTAAGTGAATCGCTCCAGTCCTTAAATCAGCCACACACGGTTGTTAAGCAAGTCCAGTTTTCTCCGTCCACTTTTAGCTTTTCTGAAAGCGGCAAAAAAGGGGGAAATCCCTGCCACAGTCATAACTGTGAGTTGAGCACCTGAATGTCAATCCCGTGACCATTGAGGCTGCAATGGTCGTTACGCGTGGAAAAACGCTCCTAGGTCCCTTTCTTCCAGTGCCGTTGTTGCTCCGAACAGTCAGTAAGTGAACCATTGTAAGGGCGAGGAACTACCTGTCCCCATGTGAAACTATGAACCTGAATTAAATCTGAATTAAAGCAGGGTTAAGAGCAGAGCCCTGCTGGCTCATCTCATTGCAGGAACATCTGCTAGGAAACTTATGCAGCTGGGGGAGGTGGGGGGCTTTTAGGAGATGAATGGAGACCCACCCCACCCCCCAAAAGTGAGTCAAAGGCAAGTTGCAAAACTGGCAGGGGGGAGAGGATCAGGCTGCCATGGGGCACCCCATAGCCCTCCCCCACTGGTGGGGCCAGGAAGTGCCCATTCATCAGCAACAGGCTGTTAAACTTCTGCAAGGGTTTCCCCCAACTCACTTAAAAGGGGATCCCCCTCCCCTATTCCTATGGGGCAACCCCCAAAGTGATGTCAAGGCTTCTGCTGTCAATAGGACTCTTCCCCCCCATTTTTCTCCCTACAGCCGACAGAGACCCATTCCTCCCCACTCCGCTTGGTGGCAGTAGTGGGCTATTGCCCGCGCATGCGTAGCATCGGCAGCACCCCAGGGCCAGGGGCCCGCGTTGCTTAGAAGCAAAAACAAAAAACAAAAAAAACCTGCCCATCTTGGTTTACGCATGCGCGAAGCAACCCGGGCCCCTTTCCCACCGGGCCCTTTTTCCTCACCCCACGGAGCCGCTTAATCAAGGCGCTCTTCTGCCCGCTCTTAGGCAGGCCCCGCTGCTCCAAAGCCGCCTTCAGGTCGGCGACCCTCAACGCCTGAAGCGGCCTCCCGTCCAGAGTAACCTCCTCCCCGTCCGCCATGTTGCGTGGCGCTGCTGCCTGCCCTCCCCGGAGCTTCGGCGGCGTTCGGGAAATTCCGGAGAAGGCCTCAGCGCTCGGAGGCGACCTCCGACCCGGAGCTCGCGCCGTCTCGTGGACGTTCGGCCGCCCTTCGTCAAGCGCCGTCTGGTTTCGGAGGCTTGCGTTCGGCAGGAAAGGAGGGAAGGGCGGAGGGGCCGCTGTCGCTCGGGCGACTCTTTCCGGACTACTTCGGGCATTTCCGGGTCTTTCGAGGAGGCTTCCCAACCTGGAAGTGAGTTTTGAGAAGGACTCGGGGAATTCCGGAGATCTTCGGCATCGGTTGGGGGGCGATCACGGAAACTCTCAGCAACTTCCGCCCAGCGCCAAAGAAAGCGCCTTTGATCGGAAGCCTGGCAGTCGAGTTCGTCTTCGGGTATTTCCGGATGGTTTCTCCGACTTCCATCACCTCGCCCGAGGCTCTTCCTCCTGCCGAAGGCGGAGCGAAGGAAAATGTTTGGAGTTTCTTTCGCAGCGATGGGATAAATCCGGATCTGAGCTAAAGCAGGTGAGAAGAAGACAATACTGGCTTGTCTTCGGCTCCAGGGACCGGCCGTGCAAGGAAAGGGAATGCGAAAGCCGTGCCTGGTTGGCTAGGTTTGGCGTGGTGGTCCCATCGTGCTGAATGAACCCAGGGCACGTGTTTCAGGGGGCTGCATTCCGTCAGTGGGCGAGATCCAAGACGGGAGTGGCTGTCCTACCTGCCTGGGGTTCTGCTTTGCGCGCACCCAGGTGCAAACTGGGTTTGTGCAGGGCTGGCCAACATTGTGGGTTTGTACAAGCTGAGTTCCGTTCAAGCTGGCTTTTTGTGGTCTTTATACTCAACGTGTCTGCTCCATTGAAAGAAAGCCTTCCCTGTTGCTTTCAAACAGCTTTCCAACCTTGACAACTAAGATTTATTTTTATTTATTTGATTTTTTAATTGCTTACAACAGCGGTTCTCAACCTGTGGGTTGCGACCCTTTTGGGGGTCGAAGGACCCTTTCACAGGGGTCGCCTAAGACCATCAGAAAACACATATTTTCGATGGTCTTAGGAACCGAGACACCACTCTATCTGTCTCCAGGTGGGTCCGCCCACTTGCAGATATGCCCACATATGAGTACCCGGCGTGATGACGACATCACGCCAACCCCATCACATACACCCCATACAAATACAGGTTCCATACAAAGTTTCTTTATTGGATTGTAATAGGCATCCTCAGGGCATAACTCACTGTTACGTTGAGATTCATCTAATGTCCAATCTTTGCATAGTTGTCTTCATAGTATGAAAATATACACTGCTCAAAAAAATAGAGGGAACACAAAAATAAGACATCCTAGTCTGAATGAATGAAATATTCTTATTAAATACTTTGTTCATTACATAGTTGAATGTGCTGACAACAAAATCACACAAAAATTATCAATGGAAATCAAATTTAGCAACCCATGGAGGTCTGGATTTGGAGTTACACTACAGGCTGATTCAACTTTGATGTAATAATGTCCTTAAAACAAGTCAAAATGAGGCTCAGTAGTGTGTGTGGCCTCCACATGCCTGTATGACCTCCCTACAATGCCTGGACATGCTCCTGATGAGGTGGCAGATGGTCTCCTGAGGGATCTCCTCTCACACCTGGACTAAAGCATCCCCCAACTCCTGGACAGTCTGTGGTGCAACATGGCGTTGGTGGATGGAGCAAGACATGATGTCCCAGTGCCAAACCGGTCATGCTGGAGGATGTTGCAGGCAGCAGAACATCCTCCAGTGTCTCCAGACCCTGTCACGTCTGTCACATGTGCTCAGTGTGAACCTGCTTTCATCTGTGAAGAGCACAGGGCGCCAGTGGCGAAATTGCCAATCTTGGTGTTCTCTGGCAAATGCCAAACGTCCTGCACGGTGTTGGGCTGTAAGCACAACCCCCACCTGTGGATGTCGGGCCCTCATGCCACCCTCATGGAGTCTGTTTCTGACCGTTTGAGCAGCCACATGCACATTTGTGGCCCGCTGGAGGTCATTTTGCAGTGCTCTGGCAGTGCTCCTCCTGTCCCTCCTTGCACAAAGGCGGAGGTAGCGGTCCTGATGCTGGGTTCTTGCCCTCCTACGGCCTCCTCCATGTCTCCTGATGTACTGGTCTGTCTCCTGGTAGCGCCTCCATGCTCTGGACTCTACGCTGACAGACACAGCAAACCTTCTTGCCACAGCTCGCATTGATGTGCCATCTTGGATGAGCTGCACTACCTGAGCCACTTGTGTGGGTTGTAGACTCCGTCTCATGCTACCACTAGAGTGAAAGCACTGCCAGCATTCAAAAGTGACCAAATGTCAGCCTCAAGATCTCTTCGGGTACCCTAATTGCTATCTATCT